TATTTATTTAATTGACACAGAGAGAGGGAAAGGAGAGATGGAACATAAGCAGGGGGAGCGGGAGAGGGAGAAGCAGGCTTCCTGCTGAGCGGGGAGCCTGATGCGGGGCTCGATCCCAGGACCCTGGGATCATGACCTGAGCCAAAGGCAGACACCTAACGACTGAGCCACCTAGGCGCCCCATTCTCTATTCAATACTTTATTGGAGATGCTAGGTAATGCAGTAAAGACAAAAATAAAAGCATACAGGGGCGCCTGGGTGGCTCAGATGGTTAAGCATCTGCCTTCGGCTCAGGTCATGATCCCAGGGTCCTGGGATAGAGTCCCACATCGGGCTCCTGACTCAGCGGGGAGTCTGCTTCTTCCTCTCCCTCTGCCTCTCCCACTGCTCATGCTCTCTCTCTCTCTCTGTATCTCTGTGTCTCAAATGAATAAATAATATCTTTAAAAAAATAAAAAATAAAAAATAAAAGCATACAGACTGGAAAGGATAAAGTAAGTTGTCCTTATTTGCATATGACAGGATTATTTATGCAGAAAACTCTATGTAATTAAAAAAAAAGAGACAAACCATTAAGTAAATTTAGAAAGGTCACAGAACAGTTTCAGTTGTATTTCTATATACTAGGACAAACAGTTGGAAAATGAATTTAAAAAATAATTCTATTTACAATAGCATCCAAAAAATAAGGTATTTAGGAATAAATTTAACAATATATACACAAAACTTCCATGCAAAGTTACAAAACACTGAGAAAAATTAAAGAAAAGCTACATAAATGGAGAAGTTCATGTTCATTTATGGGAAGTCTCAATAAGCTTGAGATGTCCATTCTCCCCTAAACATCTATACTGATTAAGTGCAATCCCAAAGAAAAAAAATATCCCAGGAGGAATAAAGTTGAAGAACCGATTTCAAAACGTGCTATAAAGATACAAAAATCAGGACAGTATGATAATGGCATAAGGATAAACAAACAGATAAATGAAACAGAAGAGAAAGTCCAAAAATAGATACAAACTTTTAAGGAAAACTGATTTTCAACAAAGGTGCCAAGACAATTCAATGGGGGAATGAAAAGTCTTTTCAATAAATACTGCTGGAAAAACCTGAAAAACAAAAAAAAATCCTTAGCTCTTACCTCATGGAAAAAATTCAAGATGATCACAGACCTAAATGTAAATGCTAAAACTTTATATAAAGCTTCCAGAGAAAATGTTGGAAAGTATCTTTCAAGACCTTGGGTGTGGGCAAATATTTTTTAGAGAAAACCCCAAAATCACTAATCATAAGAGGAAAAATTTGGGGAACTTGACTATAACAAACTTAAACATTTCTGCTCATCAAAAAATACTATTAATTCATTTCAATATATATATATAGCCCATATATAGATCCCACCCTGTGATCATTTCAACATACATATAACATACATATGTAAAAAACCACTTTGTTCTCAATAAAAAAAAATACTGTGAGAAAATGGAAATGCAAGCCACATTACTGGAAAATATTTTTCTTTTTCTTTTTTTTAAGATTTATTTGAGAGTGACACAAAGAGAGCACGTGAGCATGGGGAGGAGAAGTGGGGGAGGGAGAGAGGATCTCAAGCAGGCTCCCTGCTGAGCACGGAGCCTGACACTGGACTCTATCTTCGGACCCTGAGATGATGACCTGAGCCAAAACCAACAGTCAGATGCTTAACTCACTGAGCCACAGACACAGATAAAGCCAGCTACAAGGAAACATGGTTTTTCCCAAGGCCAGGCAGCAGTTGTAAAATGCCACCAGGGCCTCTTTTGAGTGGTTACTGCCTACTTACCAATGACGTCCCAGACAAGCTTTGCCGCTTTCACTTATTCCTGAGGGTACACATAACAGTACTCCCTAGTGAACCCCACTTCTCTTCCCTCCTAATTTTGCCTCAGAAATAGCGAGCAATCCAAAACCAATCCCTGTTTCTCTTTCCCCTCTTCTGAATCCTTTTGCGGGAACCCAAACCTTACAAATTCCTTTCCCTCAGGAAGGGCACCATTCCAGAATTCCTGTGGAATTCCCTCCTTCAAGGCAATCAGTCTGACTCGGTAAAACTACAGGATTTTGATCATGGCTGATTAGGCCTTAAAAAGATGCTCTGCATTATGAGTCAGCAGGGAAATGAGACGGCACTCCCCATCCACCAGGATGGCTCAATTAGAAAGACTGTCAAACCCAAATGTTGATGAGGCTGTGGAACAACCAGCATTCTATCTGCTGGTGGGTGTATAATGATGTGACCCCTGTAAGAGTAAGCCTGTCCCCACCCTGTGAGCCAGAGTTAGCTTCTAGGTATCTACTCAAGAGAAATGAAAACAACCCACATAAATGTTCAGAGCAGATTTATTCATAATGGCCTCAAACTGGAAACAACTCATATGTTAAAATGGATCAAAACGTTGCCTTATATTCATACAATACCACTCAGCAAAGACTGAATTACTTCCTGACAACATGGCTCAATCTCAGAAACATTATGCTGAACTTTAAAAGAAGCCAAACACAACAGAACACTTACTGAATGATCCCATTATTTAAAGTTCGAAAACATGCAAAATTAACCTGGGAGGATAGAAATCAGAGCAGTGGTTACCTGTGGGGGGGTGGGGTGGGAACTGACTGGAAGGGGGCATGAGGGAACTTTCTGGGGTGATGGAAATGTTCTAGACCTTGACCGGGCTGTTGATTATCCAGGCACACAATTTGTGAAAACTCATCAAACTGTTTATTTAACATCTGTGCCTTTCACTATGAATTTTAGCTCAATTAAAAAAAAAAAGACAAATCAGTCTTGTCTCATTCTCAGAATACTATTTCACTGGTAGGTTAAGAAACTACCATTTTTAGTCATAATTCATGAGATCCCACTATAAATTCTGTCCATATTCCTAAAATATTAAACAAATACCCTAGGAGTTATGGAAAGATAGAACATACATACTTTGGGGGAACTCTGATTTGCTAAACTCCAAACCAAACCTATGATTATTCATTTACCAGGAGAGTCACACATCAATTCTAGCGGTTGGATGGAAGGCTGATATTTTGTGCTGCCTTTCTGCTTGTATTCCCCATGGATTATTTCACTTCTCATGACAACCCCATGAGATAGGACTATTATCAACTCATCTCCATTTTACATTTGAGGAAACAGGATCAGAGAGAGAGAGAGTGGCTTGCGCAGGGTTACGAAACTGGCAAGCAGAAGAGCAAGGGTCTGAACTCAGGCCTCTCCAGCTTCCGAGCAGGGCTCTCCATCACTCTGCTCCCTCATGAGCTGAAGGCAGGAACCTAAAAAACTTAAGTTTTCTAAAAAGATCCAACTAAACCAAAACAAGATAAAATCCAGATCAGGCCCTGGTTATCCTTCAAGCCTCCTGGCTACTCCCTGTCTCCAGTTCACCCATCACCCTTTTGTCTCAAGAATGATACCCAACAAAAATCCTTTTGGAAACTCCTCTTGGCTATTTTGAAAGAACCTTCAGTTTTTGAAAATCCCTACGGCATGCCAAAATACGAAAGAAGCAACAGAATCAATCATGCCTTTGTAGAAGAAGCGAAGGAGTGTGTGTGTGTTTGGTAGTAAAGCATTTTTCAAGTGGAATCTTATATCAGACCTCAGTACAGGAAGTAGGTAAAGGTGAAGTCACTCTCTCTGCAGACCCTCGCCAGCCTCCAATTTCCCATGGCTACCCTCTAAAAGCTTCTCTTTGGACTTTGTAGTGAAGGACTCCTGGAGTTCTGGCTGATCCCCTCAGACTAGCATTCACACTCCTTCAAAGTCAAGATCACTGCAGCTTCTCCCAGTGTCCCTCCCATGTCCCTCCCTCTCGTCTCTTTGTCCTAAACTGATGGGACACTGTTCTCAGGGCAATCTCCAAAACCATCACTTTACTAGTTACATGCACCTGCTCAAACATCTGTTATCTTTTTATGGGCTTAGGCAATCCCCTCAGTCTGGCCCTCCTCATCCTGCCCACTCCTGCCATTCATCCTCACCCCCTGGCTCACAGCATGCCTTCCTCCAGGGACTTCCCTCAGCACTAGCTCTGAGCTCTAGAAGAACTCGGGGCTGACCTAAGTGAGGACATGTGGATCTATTCTCTGGAACTGTCCTTCAATTGTTTCTTGTGTATCAGTCTTACCTCCTCACAAAGATTGAAAGTTTCTACAAAGTCATCAAAAAGATCTTCCTTTTGATCTAGCAGGAAGTCCCTGGAGTCAAGGAGATCTGAATTTAAACCCTGGCTCTGCCACTTAGTGGCTTATTTACATGGGGGAGTCATTAGTCATCTTGAGCCTGTTCTCTCAGGACTGCTGTGAGAAGGGAATTATTAACGAAGTTGATGATATCATAGGCGAATGAGCTTATATATTTGTTTCCCTTTTCCCACCACACCATGCCCACCACAGTGGCAGACACACAGTCAGCGATTAATAATTTCTTTGTTACAATTCTGCCAAAATGCAGCAAGGACCTGCTCTGGGCAAGTTTGTCTCTGCGGGAGCAAAAAGACGTAGCTCTGCTCCGTGCCCGTCTTAATTTTGTTGACGACTATATTTCAAGACTTCAAAAAGCCAGGTCTGGCAGAACAGGAAGCAAGCATTTCAGGGCAATCACACTCAAGAATGCCTGCCAAGGCAATGCAAGGTCCAACCGCACTCTGATCCAGAAAGCTAATGGACAGATTTACTGGAGCTCACACTGGCTTGCAATGAGGACAGGGGCGTAATAAAACTCAGGCTGTTCTGAAAGCACTTGCAATAAAGACGAGCAAAAGCTTTCCCAGGGGAAATGCTGTCTGGCTCTTCCTGCTAGATGAAATCAATGAGCCCACCTAATTGGAAAACCAGGAAGAACCAGGGCCTAGGGGGCTGGGAGGCTGAAAAACACCACCAATGGCCGTGTGGGCAGCAGAACAAGCCCCGAGAAGCCTGCCCAGACAGGAGCGACACTGCATACCTGTGAAAGCGTGCTGCTCTCGCGCTGAGGACACTTTCCTGCTGGTGCCATCGCCAGAATCTTCTCCATGTGCGGAAGGCCGCAGGCAGGACTCTCTGCTTGAAGTAACTGTCTGCTCTGGACCGCAGCCGCTGCAGTATAACAACAAATGACCTTTATTTGTACTTTATATTATATTAAAAAAATGACCTTTAAGGGTTGCACTCTAGAGGGAGGGTTGCTTTCTACACAAAATTGAGAAAAAGATTAAAATCCTTTTTTTTTTTTTAAAGATTTTTTTTTTTATTTATTTGAGACAGAGAGAATGAGAGAGAGAGAGCACATGAGAGGGGGGAGGGTCAGAGG